TTCCTGCAGAAACTTGAAACACTGGTTTGCTGTGATTTGAATGTTCCAACCTTATCCAGAAAAATCTTTTAAATTCGTTTTGTTGTGGTTGTTATGTGAATGATCAAGTTGCATCCACAGTATAAAGTACAACAAACTTAAGTTTCCAAGGCAGCTAAATCATCAAATATCATGCTTTCGAATAGAAAAAAATCTTTACATGTGCTTAGGGCAACACAGTCAGATCTTTTCTCAAGTTCATGAACTTGATTCAACAACCAGTTTTTAACTTTGATTTCATGTGCACATTTATTCCCCTTGTTGCTGGTTCAGAGGATTACTTGAAGCTGAGAAGTCCAGTTAACAAATTCAGAGCCCCAGTGTTCAGCATTTCCTATGTTTTCCCTAGTGTTTGTGGAGGTGCACCATCAGTCTTTTCTGTGAGAATTTATTATTGTCTCAGGCTACAGGTGCTATTTTCAGTGCTGTTACTTGTCATCATTACTCTGCATTAACTCTCTAATAGGGCTTTTGTTATTAGTTAAGTGCCTAAAGCTCAGTGTGGCAGCCTGTGAGAATGAAGATGAAAAGCTAAAGTGCAGAGCAATGAGCATTATTAGGTGTGTAGCATATTACAGTGCTTTGGTTTAATACCAACAGCACGATGCTGCTGCCTGTACAAGCTCCAGGAGACTTGTGCGTCTTGTACTTCTGCACTGTATGTATAATATTGAGACTGTTTCATACCAAAAACAAAAGGACAGTGTTCAGTGTTTGGTTGAACACTTCCAATGACCTGTGTGTAGGTTTTTGTAACAAGTTCCCTCCTGTGGTTGCATGAATATGAATTATAGTTGTCTCTGAGAACTAAAGGAAGATGTGTGGTTCTGCTGTTGTCCACCTGGTTTCTGTTGTATTGATAATATCTTGTTTTATATTGACAGTATTTTGTCTGTTACTTTTTTTATTGTTACCACTGAGTGCCTTGTTTGTGTCCCCTTGCCGCTGTAGCCTTGTGAATTTCCCTGCTGTGGGACTAATAAAAAGGTTAATCTTATCTTAATGATGACCATGACCTTTCTATTAGAAAATAGTTTTTCAAACATTTTTTGACACTTTAATTTTGTTATAGTTCTAAAGTTGTTATAATGTCTTAGAGGTGGCAGATCAGAAGATGCTAATGAATAATTTGTGTAAAGATCCTTCCATCCATCCATTTTCTACTGCTTAGTCCCTGAACGGGGTCACGGGGGGGTGGATATGCGGCAATCGGGCAAAGGCAGGGCTTTGTAAAGATCATGTGTGTATTTAACCTGTATATGAAAAGAAAAAGAGAAAGTCCACGCCAGATGGTGGTTCGGTTGGACGGTGGCTCAAATGAACATCAAACTTTCCCATGGGAGAGTGGAGTTTGTGTCCAGAACGTAATGAAGTGTTATTTAATCAGCCAGTGTTTTAATCCAACCCACAATATTTTCCTAAACATAACCACATAGTTTTTGTGCTTAAACATATCCATGCCGTTTCTGACACATCTATACCATGAACAGTTGTGCTGCTTTGGCTACCCAGCAGCTTGTCTGCACAGTGTGTACACAATAATTAATGATTCAGATACTGAGGAAAAATGACAATATGTGGTCAAGTCTTTTTTCTATGGTTTCTAAATTGACATATGAGCATTTTTTAGTAGATAGCTTTTGGTGATAGTGACAGACCTACAGACCTCCACACCGTGAATTCTGTTTATTCATGTAGCAAAGTGGGTATGATGTCTTTGTGTTTAGAATTGACTGATGGGGGAGGCGACAGTGCGGTGGGTAGAGCAGTCATCTCCCAACCAGAAAGTTGAAGGTTCAAATCTCAGTGCCTGCAGTCCACATGTCGAAGTGTCCTTGGGCAAGACACTGAACCCTCCCCCCTCGCTTCCCCCGATGGTTGGAGCCGTCGGTTGAGGTGGTGCCGCAGATGGCTTCCTTGTGTGTAACATACTTGGCCAATAAAGGTGATTGTCCTTATCCTGATTTAGGAATCTGAGAAGAAGCAGCGTTGTGCTTGAGGTAAACGGTGTCAGTCAGGAGAAAGATACAGGGAGCGTGGGGGGTGGTGAGAGACAACAACAAAACATGTTGCTGTTGTTGCTCTGATTTGATTTGATTTATTCTTTCAAGCATGTAAAGACAGTTGATATGTCAACACACCTAATTTTACACATATCCAGCAAATGCTAATCCAATATCAATTTACTTATACCTAGTACATGCTTGAATGGAGTAGGAAGAAGTCAGACTTATCCAGTCCTACCCCATGACATCATCTTACCATCATTGGTTTGCAAGCAGTATCACGACATAAATAATTCTCTTCTACACCACACAAGTAATATACTAAAAAAATATAACAGTGTTAACATTCTTACATAATTACATACTTAGATAATTGTCTTCTATACCACACAAGTAATATACTAAAAAATTATAACAGAGTGTTAATAATCATACACCACACCCACAATGTTCCATCTAGTTAATCATTAAACCTGTTCTTGCATATATCTTGATTGACACATACCTTTATATTTATGTTTAAACTCATCAATTCTATTACTATTTTTTATGTC